TAGGCAATATTTTTGAGATTTTCCTTTTATTGATAAAAAATTAGTCAAAACGTCGTGGGCCCCACCACTGCTCCACATTCACGCGTGCTGCATCATCCAAGGGGCCACACCCCATCCGCATTACATGGGATGGGTTTCCAGCGTCCTAATCATCCAACGGCTCACATTTTCCGCGTTTGGCTCTTCCTTGTCTGAGACTCGCACACATCCCCATAAACAAACTCAAAATATGTTTATTCTTCTACGCTTAGGAATTAGAAACTAAAATTCTGTTTGGCTCCACCTATTTATAAATAAAACACGACTTTCTCAGATTTGGGCTTTATTTTATTTTATTTTTTTAACTTTTTATTATAATAAAAATAGAAAAAAGATATGATTATGAAATAATCTGTTAAAAGAATTTAATTTTTAATGTTAGTGAGCAAAAGCTAGCTCTAGTATCAGTGTATAAATTATAGAAAAAAAATATGTTTTATATTTTAACTTCCTTCACATATTAAAATCCTCTCTCTTTAATATTTTAATTTAAAAAATAGTACATTAAAATAATAATAATAATAATAATAATGGAAAGCCACTGGAAGGTAAAGAGTGCTCTCTTTCTTTGGCTAACTGATAATCACTAACGTACTGTCTGAGTGCTAAATTGTGCGTTGGAAGGTAAAGAGTCCTATCTTTCTTTGGCTGAAATAAAAATAAAAAATAAAAAATAAAGTTAGTATAATAATCGTCTTCTCCTTCAGTCACAACGCACATACAAAAAACCACTAGAAGTTTCTGCATTTCAGCTCTCCTTCTCTCTGTGTTTCTCTCTCTCTACGGAATTTTTTTTTTCAACAGATCTTCAATTTTGAGCCTTGGATCTAGTGGGTTTGTTTTGGATTCTTGTAAGATTAAAGTCCCTTTTGTCTTTGTATCCATACATTTATCCTTCTTGTCTATAATTTTTTTGTTTGATTTTTAAATTTGTATCTTTCTTGTGCTTTGGTTGTGTACGGATTTGAAGGGTCTTGTTATTTTGTGAAGTAAACCATTTGGGTTATTGATTTGGCCATTAGAAGCTAAGATTTTTATTTTTATTTTTATTTTTTTATGAAATTTCGATCTGTTAGTGGCTCTTGTTCTTTTTTTTTTTTTTTTGGAATTTAAGTTGGTTTTGTTCTATTTTTTTTTTTTTTTTGGGTTATGCCCTGTTTGTTTGGTTTCTTTGAAAATTGAAGAAAATGAAGGAAACTTAGACGGTATTGATTTTTACTAAAGGGTTTGTTTTCTCATCTAAAAAATTGGTAGAAATTATATTTTCTTTGGTGATTGTGATTCATTATCGCTCTTCGTCTTGAATTTTTATCTGCTAAACGATCAGAACATTGTTGTTTGTATTTAATTGGGTATTATGTCATCGCTTTCGCAGTGCAAGGGAAATTCATTTTGTATGCATTTGGAGGATTGTAAAAGGAGAGCAACATGCCGTGGACTTCTTCTTTTGTGAACTATAACAGGAACTGTGTTCGCTTGGTGGTCTTCTTTCGTGTCATACTGTAATTTTGTTTGTTTTGGTGGTGAGACTCTCTTTTTCTCCTGTCATACTGTAACCTATTTTGTTTACTTTCATGAAACATGTTTATGAATATATTATCGATAGTTTTGATTAGGAGGATTAGGAAATTATTTCAAATTTATCCTTTACATACTTATTGAGAAAAGTTTATGCTTTATCATGATTATTCAAAAAACGTTTTTTTTTTTTCTGTTTTTAAATATAAGGCTGTTTTTCACTGCTGCAGATAATTGTCTTGTAAGTTGCGAAGAGGCTCTTATATTTAGGGTGGTTTTAGGAGTGAGAATGTACATTGCGGTAACCATAAAGAGATATCGAGCTGTGAAGGAAGTAGGGGAGATTAAAATGATTGTTGGAATTACTGCATATTACCAAGTGATGCAAATTTGTCAGGTAAAATATCATCAGCATTTTGCTTTGAAATTTTATTTTTATTACACTTTCCCTTTTCACTTAGCGCATATATATATTGGTAAATATTCTTAGTCTTCTTGTGTTTTTTATGAAAATATGAAGTTAAAAAAAGAGCTCCTTTTTAGTATCCTGGTGCTATTGGATAGGGGGCTTGTGTTTGGTTGATCTTAACAACACGATAATGATTCTAATCACTCACATTTTGCATTTCTGATTTCTTGAAAAGCCTTTGCTCATCTGTGCTAGCAATTTTTTTTTTTTTTATACTCTCTTTATGTTCGTGATGGGTAAACTAGGGAACCAACTAGTAGGGAACTCATTGTTAATGCAAGCCTTTCTCCTTTTGCTTTTATGCTAATTTGCTGTGGTCTTTGTTTTCTCTCTGAAGCCAACTGTGTATGGTGCAAATTAGGTGTTCTTTAGTTTGTTGATTGATCAATTTTGTTTTTCAGCTGTTGTTGAGTGGGTTATTAAATTCCAACAGATATTATATTTAGGAATCTTGTTCTACCTAGAAACATTATCCGCTGTAAGTGGAGAAATTGTTAGCCTTTGCTAAATCATTAACATTTAACCTTATCTGATTTCATCAGGATGTGCCTGAGTGTCACTCTATCTGGCGGTGTCGTATCTTTGTATGAAATAATGTTCATTGGCTGTTGTACCTCTATATGGATGCTTTTATTCGTGGCTTCGTGTTTGCTTCTCTTTACCCATTACTTTGGATTATGCAATTGAGTTCATTGATATTCTAGTAATTATATGGAATTTTTTCTGTTTGTTATTACAGGATGAGTATTTCCGCCAGTTGCTTAAGCCTGTTACGTAGTCAAGTCTTACAAAGCTCTGGTAATTGGGATTTGGGACATCTTGCATCGGTTGTGTTTATACATTAGAAACGAGTGACAGAGATAAAGCATTTGAGTCTGGTGATTGTTCTTTTTGGATAGACAGCTCTTTTATGCCAGGATGGCAGTAACTTGATTTGCTATATAGTCTTTTCATCAGTTTAGTGATCTTCACCAATTGAATACTGAATAATTGCCAACAGGAAGCCTAAAATCCATCACTATTGCAAAATTGTTAATTAAAGACAAGCATCTGATGCATAGTAACCGACACTTTCGCTCCAAAGAGGCAGTGCCCCCTCTTACAAATCAAGTTGGTAATAATTACATGCATATTCCAGTCGCATCTTCATTTGCTCCAGTTCAGCCTCCGGCTGTAAAGCCCTTGATGCCTGTGCATGGAATTGAGTTTCAACCTTCTGAGATTTGTCCAAAGAATTTCATTATTTTTGATCAGACTGATCACCGAAGCCAGGTTATGTACAATCCTGCTGTTGCCCACAAATTTAGTGATCCTGGCTTTAACATCCATGCAACTTACATCCAAGAGAATTTTGAAAGAAAAGACACCTACAATGTTGAAAGAGAAATATCATCTTCTCTGAAGGAGGATTCAGATGATATTGATGCATTATTGAGTTTGGAAGAGGAAGAACCAGAAGACTGGGACGAGGAAGAGATCAGCACTGCACGCACTTATGGAAATTGTGGAAGCAACTCCCCTGATTCTTACTCCAGTTATGGTTCAAAACCCATGAAAAATGGATCTTCTGTTCAGAAGTGCTCTAGCAGTGGTAGCAGCTGCCACAGTGAGAGGAAACGGCAGAAAATGAAGAAAACGGTGAAGACATTGAGAGGTATTGTACCTGGTGGTGATCAAATGAATACCGCTACTGTTCTAGATGAAGCTGTCAGGTACCTTAAATCTCTCAAAGTTGAAGTGCAAAAGCATGGAGTTTCCAATTTCAAGAACTAAACTTGAACTTTGGCACCAAAGTACTTATTTTAATGTATCAGGGTTCTGTTTCTATCAGATTCTCTCTCTTGTTAGGTTGGCAACTGTTCGGTTCTTATGGCTAGTATTGGCAGCTCATGGTGTGTTCAACATTCCGATTATATGATATAGGGGCACTGCAAAGAAATGGTTTAGTGGTTAGTCCCTTAAATCCCTCTAAAACGTTGGTTTTACTGTGTAGTCTTCAATCGGAAGAAGAGTAGGGAGGGTCGAATAAAGTTGTAGTATCTGTACTTTTTTCTGCTTGCCAGTTATTCTGTCCAGCCTGTTACTGCTATTTTGATTCTATTTTGTATTGTACTTTAAACGTAACAGTTCTATGATCTCTTGCTTTTATGAGAGCTTTATATGCATCTTTTTAGGTCAAGTATTTGCTTGTAAACAGTAGTTTTGTTTGGAAATGGATCTAGGCTGTATGTTTTTAATGGCTTTAGTTTCTGTGGGCAATGGCAACCTGAAAAGTCTGCTATTTCTGTCCTACTTTTTCTTTTATGCTTTCAACATGCTATTAATGTCCCCTTATTCTCTACTGTGCCGTTCTCAATGCTTCATCTGCTGGGAATTGAGAGACAAAAACGTCATGATCAGCCAGTGGTGGATCAGCGTGGGATCTAGCCCTTTGTATTACAAGTTGGATCAAGTTGTATTTCTTTTCAAGTGACCAAAGTGGATATCACATCACTTTGTGAGAGCATGACTTGCTCGAATCTGTGCCTTATGGACTTGGGCTCTCCTCTTTTTGATATTTCTTCAGAGTTTCAGCCTATTCGGTCAACCAAAAGCTTGTAGCTTAGTGTTAGTGATTTCTTATAAACAAAAGTTATGGGTTTAAATCTTATTAAGATAGTCTAGGAATCTTAGAACCTTAGATATTTGAGTTTTTTTTATTTAAAAAAACCCCTATTTGTTCGTTCATTTGTTATCCAGGTGGAGTGCTAGGGACAAGGAGAAAAATTTCAAGCATGCATGGTTACAGATCCAATGAGCAGCATTCTAAGTGGCGCACCTTTAAGCTCCTGCTGCTGCTGCCTATTGCCTGCCAAGTTTGTGCACCAAGAGAGGTCCCAGGATCATTTTGGTCCATTAAGCTCCTGCTGCTGCTGCCTATTGCCTGCCAAGTTTGTGCACCAAGAGAGGTCCCAGGATCATTTTGGTCAAGTAGCTAATTATGGATTATGGATTGCTGTTCATCAGCTTTCTTTAGTGAATGCATTATGGATTTATTATTAGACCAAAAGGGTCTTACCACTTTTGAATTTTATTTCATTTGAGCTTGAGTTTCTGATTTTTATTTTATTTTATTTTATTTTATTGGTGTTCAGGATTTTTGAATTTTTAATTTTTAAAAGTCAATTTATTTAATGATTTTCAGCTATCATTATTTTTTTTCTAAAAAAATTCAATTTTTGGTATTTTAAGTTAAAATTTTGCACACATTGAAAAAAAATTCAATCCATTTTGTAGAAAATGTTTAGAATTTGTCAAAATTGAAGACTATATTTATTTATTTATTGAACCTTAAAAATGTTAAAAATTAGAAAATAATAGAAAATAATCTTGAAATAATTTCAATTGTTTTTTGAAGAGCTTCACATAAATCTTACTAAATGATTCTTATAATGAAACTATCTATACGATTGCTTGAGGATATGAGTTATTATTAATTTTGGAGTCGTTATTTAGTATTAAAGGTAACTAAGAATCTAAAATGACAAGTGATTTAGAGATTCTAAGACACGGAGTTGATTATACATTTGAAAAGATATCAATCATCTAACTATACTATTTCTCCTAGGAAAAATATCATGTCTAGTTTAGTCCTAAAGTTTATCTCTTAAAAATTTCTTTTTTTTTTTTGCCAACATTAATCCTCAATCAAAATTTCAAGTTTTATTTCCTAAGCTAAATTATTATTATTATTATTATTTTTGGCATTGTATTGAATCAATTATCGAGTACCGTTATCAAGAGTCTCGTCAATTCAACATTGAATCAATTGAAATCTCGACACAATCATTATGTCGAAGAAAGACTTAATTAATAAAATGTGATTGATTTGTGTTAATATCAGTCCCTATTAGATATGAGACTTTGATAATTTTGTTTTTTTTTTACCTAGTATTTTCTATATATATATATATATTTTGCTTTAGTTTTCCTTTTTTTTTTTTTTTAATCTAGCATTCTCTCTCTCTTCTTTTCTCTCCTTTTTTTCTCTCTCTTTTTTATTGTCTTCTATATAGATATTTTTATTTTTATTTTTACAATTTTTAATCATTTTTTTATTTTATTTATTTATTTATTTTGTCGTTGATGGAAAGTTGTCATCGATCCCTAACAATTAGAAAACGTGATGAATCGTTCACTTGTTAATTATCTAATCTAATTATCGAAATAAAACCCAAAATCAAGCATTGACTAAATAAATAAATAAACATAAGAGCTCAAAAATTCAATTAATTAAATCTAAGACTAGGCATAAAAATAAAAGGGATGTATTAAAAATGTAGAATTGATTTACCTTAGAAAGGAGCTAAAACTAAGGTTATCGGGCATTTTGAGATAAATGGGCTTTCGAACCTATAAGCTAGCGCACTAGGCAGAGCTAAACCCTAGCCTATTATCAAGCGACCAACACATTCTTCTCTCTTAGCCTAGCCCTAGCCTAGCTTAAACTAAGCTTATTTTCCTCTTGGCCCAACTTGGCCTTTTCTTTGTTTTTTTTTTTTCTTTCTCTCTCTCTGCCCAAGCGTCTTTCATTTCCTTTTGTTTTATTTGTTTTCTCTATCTTTTCTTTTCTCCCCTTTTCTCTTTTTCCTTCTTTGGTCACTTTCCTTCCCCTCTCTTCGAATCTACCTTGTTCACCTAGAAACCTCCATTGAGAGAACCAACATTTTTTAGTTAATAGCCATACAAAAACCTCCTCTTTACTCCATTATCAACATCATAAAGGACTTGAGCATCAAAGACTCACCATGGCAGATGACGAGTGCCTAAGCCATTCCCTTTCCTTAGAAATCTAAGAAATGAAATGCCGAATAAATTAAAAACTCGAAATGTAAATGTGATGAATGTAATACTTGATGAACTTGAATAAGGATGAGAAAAAAAAAAACAAAGAAATTTGAATGGTTGTGGTTATTGTTCTCCCTCTATTTGCAAGAACTTGGGAGCAATGGTAATGGTAGGATTTGTTGCTCATTAAGACCTAAAAAATGACGTAAAATGTGCCCAAAACTAGAGCTTAGGTGCTTATGGACTAATTGGGTTCTATAAACCTAAGAGAGCTAGTTCCTCCGGCAAAATTCAAGCTATTCTTCCTAACCCAAAATACTAAACCTAGAATCAATCCTCTTCTCCTTAAAATCTTTTCTTTGAATTCTCCTCTAAGCCTTCTCTTCTTAAAAACTAAAAATTTTACACAACCAAAATCGACTTCCCTTCTTTCAAACCCGTAAAGATCATTCCGAAACCTAGAAATTCAATTCTCCTCCAATCTCTCGAAAATTGTCTCCCTACTCCCTAAAGGAGGCTCAATTATAGCTAGACTCTAATCAATTCCTACCCTAGGATCGTTCCTCAATCGATCAAAACCCTCAATTGCTAAAGCTAAAATTGATAATGCGTTTTCTACCATTTGTGAACAAAACAAAAATCGGACCTAAAATGAAATGTTTGTGAAAGGTTGTGCAGAGGGGTATTTTGGTGGGTATAGATGTGTGTACAACATGATTCTTTGCTGATACAATTGCTAGTCAAGAGTAACAAAAACGTAATTGGAGAATTTTATCTCCAAGGAAGACGATGAACATGCCTTAGGATTGATTTTAGGTTGTAGTGAATGATAAGTTGTTCTTTCAATTTTTGATAATATTGTTTGCTTTTTGATTTTAATTTAGTCCTTGTGCATTTCAATAATTTGCAATTATAACCTTTAAAAATGCAATTTTAGTCCTTATTCTTTTAATTTTTTCAATTAGATCCCTCTATCTTTTAATTTCAATCATAAGGTTTTCAATCTGTTTCAATGATATCCTCAATAATTCTAATTTTAGTCCTAATTTTATTCAATCAATCCCTTAATTCATTATGCCATGCAATTTTTGTATTTTTAAATATTTTTTTGTATTTTTTATTCTTTTTTTTATAGTAAATATCAAAAATAAAATAAAATAAAAATAAAAACCAAAAAGGGATAAAAATTAAATAATAATAATAATTTAATTTAGGTTATGATAGTTGTCCACTCTTTAGAATGCTTACTATACAAATGCTAACTCGAAGTGCGAACTTCGATTAGGTTTACTTAGTGAGTTTGTAAAGAAAAAATAAATTGAATAACAAAAATGGTCCGATTATCCCGAATGACCGTCCTAAAAAAGTATCATGCGATAACTTTATTGTAAAGGATGGCTTGTCCTAAAAAGTAAAATATGATAGCCTTATTGTGTAGAATGACTTTATCTAAGAAAGTGAAATGTGATAAACTCACTATGTAGGGTGGCATACCCTAAAAAATAAAATATGACGACCTTTTTATCCGAGTTGCGTGCTCGAAAAAGTAAAATTATGATGTGATTACTTAGAAACCATGTCCGGAGAGGTTGTCTATTGTCGGGTGATCCTACCCGAAATGATGGTCTATTCTTAGGTGAATTTGTCCGAAACGATGGTTTATTTTTATGTGATTTTGCTCGAAATAATGGCCTATTGTTGGGCCATTCCACCCGAAATTATTGTTTATTATTAGGCAACGCTACTTGAGAAGATGGTCTATTCTTAGACGATCTTACTTGAGTGATAATTTATTATTAGGCGACCCTACCCGAATGATGTTCTATTTTCGGGAAACCATGTCCGCATTATGATCTATTATGAGGCGACTCGCTCGGATTATAGTCTATTATAAGACGAACCTCGCTTAGGTTATGGTCTATTGTGAGACTACCCTACCTAAAATAATCATCTATTTTTAAATGAATTTGCTTGAGATGATGGTATATTATTAAGTAATCTTATGTTAATGATGGTCTATTGTGAGAAGATTTTGTTTGGATTATAGTCTAATATGAGACAACCCCGCTCGGGATAGTGGTTTATTCTTAGGCGACCTTGCCCGAGATGATGGTTTATTGTGAAGTGACCATGACTGAATTATTATCTATTGTGAGGGGACCTTGCTTAGATTATAGTCTATTCTAAGATAACCCCGTTTGAAACGATGGTCTTTTCTTAAGTGACTCTACTCGATATGATGGTTGCTTATTAGACAACCATACCCGAATGATGAATTATTGTGAGACGATCCTACTCAAAATCAATAAAAAAGTTAAAGACTTAACCTCAAATAATTTAAATTTCGGAGATGTTCAAAGAATTTTAGCCTTATTATTATTTTTGGTTACAATAGTTCATTATTAACACTCATATATGCTCAATAAAGCTACCAAGTGATATTAGCTAGCTTGAGTTGAAAAATTCGTGTATATGAATTCCGATCTAATAGAAACTACAAGTACATGAATTTTACTTGTGATCATGCAATGGGATATTCTTATCTCCGTTTTCTATTATTATATATATGAACAATCTATGAGATATTCTCCCTCATCTCTTTATCATGTCCTTGTTGAACAAAAATTAATAGGTTTAAATTTCGTATAGTGTTGATCGGTTAGTCAATAAGTGGATTTGATTAGAGTTCGGTGTTCGTTTCTTTCCTCAACTTTGTCCTAGCATGACCGAGTTTTTGTTCTATGAAGCTATAGGTGTAGCTTGGTAGTTTTTGTTTCTCGACTTAAGCCTTTTTCCTTTGCCGTGAAAATAAATATTAATAATAATAATAATAATAATTGTACTATAAATACATCAACTTTGAACTTCTTTTTGATTGACTAAATAGACTTTAATTTTTTTTTGTTTGATTAAATTGATTTGTTTTTTAAACTCGTTAATCAAGTACTTAAATTTTTTGGTTATCAACAAATGACATGTCTATTACCACTAGAATACTAAATTATCATTTTATCATTTTTTTTTCTCAATTGAGGACATGGATTTTAAATTTTTTTGTTTAAATATGCCATTTTTTTTTTCAAAACTCGTCAATCAAGTACTTTAATTAATTTTTTTTAGTTAATTGATGAAATATCTGTTTCTACT